CATCAATCGCAGGAGCACCGGGCGACGTAGATCTGGGCCTCCTTGGGGGTTCGCCCCTAGGGCTAGGCGTACGCCGCTTGTCCTGCTCCCGATTCCTGGGAGAGTACTTGTCCCTTCGATGAGGACTTGGGGTATTACCGGTCCTCTTCCTTGGATCACTAGGAGGCCGATTAGGCCTATGGGAATCTCCAAACGGAGATCGTCTCCTGACGGGAGGACCAGGAGCACCAGGTTTCTGGGCTCTGTCCCTGGACTGAGATCGTTCGTAAAAGTCTTTGTGCATATTGACCTGATTCTTACGAACCCTCCAGCGGTCAATTTCGTTCTTACAACGAGCACGAAGCCATTCATAGCTACAAACATCAGGGTTGGATATGTTCCTATCCCATTCCCTGATATCATGAGCCAAACAGTTGAGGTGTCTAACCTTCTCACTGAATAGCGACCGCTTTACCTGCTCGGTCAGCGGTTCATCGAGACCCGCAAGGATGTGATCCCACTTCGCGATGAACCTTTCAAGTCGCTCCTCTTCAGTATAGAAAGATGAAACACTGCATCGCAAGTTTGAGAGCTCAATTATCCTGAATGATTGCTCTCCGATATTTGCAGTCCTTAAGTGGTCGTATAAGAGCCACAGGATCTGCCTACTCTTGATGCGATTGTTGGAGCGTTGAGCGGCTTCGGTGAGACGATTAATCTTATCGATAATTGCAACAGTCTTGATGCTGGCTGCATTGAACCTGGCTTCAAGGATGTGGTATTTACATTCCCCATCCAGTTCATCAAAGGTCTTTGCCTTCTCGACTTCAGTTAGCCAATTGATGACGTAAAGTCCATCATAGCTGTAGGCATTGCTAACAGCTTCCTTCATATTGGCTATCCATACCCTCAGCCCAGCCGCGTCGGGCTCTGGCGGGAGGTCTATGGGAATGCACTTAGTCGCAGCTGTACAGTTCGGATCATGGTGGCTACTGTATCCGCCGCCACCAGTTCCGAAAAGATGCTGTGGAACCTGAGAACTACTGATTGACAGTGCACATACAGGACAAAGGCGAGTAGCCTTCGGAATGCAAATCTCACATGCCTTTTTCATGCATATCTTACATTCCCCAATTTTGCTGGGGTCAGGAATATCCCGATCACACATCCGACAGTTCTTGTCAGGAGGATCGGGGCCACGCATGGTCGGCGGCTCAAGGCCTGAAGGATCCTTCGGCCTTGTACCGTTGGGATCAAATCCTGGATAATATCCGGTTTCACGTTTATCCAGGGGCACGGGTTGCGTAGCCTTCGGAGGGCTCTGAAGGTCAGCCGCGTTGGGTTGACCCCCAGTGGGAATGTCACGGAATCTGTCAACGGGTGGCCGCAGAGGCGGCGAGTACGACCGCGTCGGGTTCGTCTCAGGTGCGCCTCCAGGAGATCTATTCCTGACACGGTTACCATCGGGATCCCTTCTTCTCCTAGTTTCGTCCCTAAGGCACGCAAGACAACAGGGACCCTGGACAAATCCAAATCTCCTGTAGTCATCCTGCCCAGCAGAATGTCTGGTGCAGTAGTAGGTCCTACAAAACTGACACTCAATTCCCTTGGTCAGGAACGAGCTCTCCCTACAGACACCGCATCGGGGTCCGTTACGGGAACATTCTTCACACAAGTTCTCTTTGAACGAGAAACAATACTCACAAATATCACCTCTGCATCCTTTGCAGTGAAACTCAGCCATGAGGTGATTATTTCCATCACCTACGTATTTACACCTGGGTTTACCAGGGTCGCCAGGGTTCCCACCGGCAGCACTCTTCTTCCCCCCTCCTCCTGGGCTTTGCCGATCTGGAGGAGGAGGTGGTGGAGGATCATCATCAGGAGGGCCAGGTGGAGGTGGCCGCTTATCCGGAGTACGGGACGCGGCACGCCTTCCTCCTGTGCGATCGTTCAATCCACTACTTGATGCCTGGTTCGAGTGCCTTGGGAGTTAATTCTCTGGGCCGTATTACCCAGCACCTCGAGCATTTGCTCGAGCTTACTGTTGAGCGTAGTCGAAACGGCCATGTTATGAGTATTTTGCTTGTCCGTGTAGGATTTGCAGTCCCTTGACTTTATCTCAAGGTTGGCTTGTGTCTCATAAAGTTGGTCTTTAACCCACTTTATGCCGTCCCTATTATTGGTCCAGCATTGTTCGACATCTTGCATCATCCTATCAATCTGACATACCCTAGTGGACAGGTCCTCGATTTTGAGGTTTACTCCACCAATCGCAGGATGGTTGGATTGGCTCTCCACTAGAGATCTCTCGATCGCATCAACACGAGCTATAAGCCCGGTTACTCGATCAGAAAGAGATTCAAAAACAGTTTGAACTTGGGTGATGGAGCGAGCAACATCATCATAGCTGGCTCGCTCATTTAGGGCATCGCCTATGCTTGTCATGCGATTGGAAACGATCTTGACGCGTTGGCCAAGCTCGGTCACGATGTCCTTAGTCCCTTGTGACAGCTGCATGGCCGCGTTCGCAGCCTGCGTACACGTGCTACTCACATGGACGCATTGGTCGTATTTGGCCCTCCACGAGTTAACCTCAGTGGAGAGCTGCTTGATGCATTGATCACTTCTATCATTCCTACGCCCAAGGTCTTCGACCTTAGCAACCAGGCGATGAATGATCGCACTTACCGAAGAGTCCACTCTCCCTCTTTCAAGGGCTGTTACAAGATCAGCAACCTCGTTGGGTTGCTCCTCACTCGCAGGACCAAATCCTGATCCGCGATCTCGAGGAGTGGACAAGTCAACCATGATCGGATTAGATCTCGGAGGTGTCCTGAAATCATCTTGTACAGCCGTTGACGGCCGTGGGAATTCGCTCCGATTAGGAGACTGACTCTGATACGGTGCAGATCTTCTGGCATCACGAACCGCTGATGGCTGTGGCATGCCTCGACCCTTTGTCACAAACAATTTGGGAACTACTGGCCTATCAGTCCGCATAGGAACTTCAGGCTTCATATCGGCAATGACAACGTCATGCAAATCAGTCGCATTGGACGCTCTAGACTCAGACATTGATTCAACATCGGTTGCGCTGCTGACGGTGTTGTTGTGATTGGAACTTGATGCCATCATGGACTCAGACTCAATCGGAACATCAGCTCCGTCTGTGTTGTCAATGGTGAGAAAGGAAGCCGCGTTGGACGTAGGGCGAACAGGCTGTACATTCGGGCCACTTGACCTATTGAATTCCTCCTGGAATGCTTCGATCCCATCAAGCACGTTAATCAACGTGTCCGCGTTTAGCGGATCCCTACCGACAATCGACGCGGGATCGCCTGAGTGACCACGTCTTGAGCCCCGCACACTGGGGTTTCCCCTGTGTGCGGTCTCTCGATCCATCCTTCTAGCCCTATGCGAGCTGGCCGAGTCTGACCTAGACCGTTTGCTTGGCGTAGGACTGGGATGCAAATCCAACCTATCTACAATGTTTCGCTCCCTTGGACTCTCAAATCCTGAAAGTCCTGGGGGAGGGGACATATTCCTCATTGTCGGGTTTACCGATGGCCTTGGCCTGACATTGCGGCTGGCCACATCAGGATTGAGATTTTCAATGGACAAGGGTAGCATGAATTCCTCGCTTCCAGCAGTCCGCTTTGGGCTCTGAAACTGCGGGAAAGATGATGGGGCGGGTGGCCCTGGCATCCATGTATTGAAATCCATGCCAAAAATATTACCGTCGTTGGGCCATGAGGCCATCCAATCTGACCTACCGATATCGGCTGGCAGATGAACATCAAATGCAACTCCACTGGATGTACCGGGTTCGGGATTACCGAGCGCTTGAAAAACTATACTACTGGTTGGCACAGGTCTACTGCTACTTCGAGAGTCACGAAACTCGGACTGACCAATATTCATCAGCTCCGGGAAAGATGAGGATTGAGCTCCAGGTGCAATACCGGGCTCGTCATCATCACGTCCTGAGACGGAATCATCATGGTCAGGACGATTAGCCCCATGACCCTGAGAGCGATTAGCTCTTGAGGCATTAGACGATAGGTCATCAGTGCGAGTAGCACTGGACCTTCCTGAAGGCATTGCTTCGGAAAAAGTGTGGTCCGACAAAAAATCAGGACCGGAAAACATCGGCTGTCCGGGCACCTGGTCGTCATTCACAACGTCCAAGATTCCGGCCTGGCCGAGAACCCATTCATCAGTCACCACGTGAGGTCCATCCTCAGTGATTCCTGCCATCGTATATACAATAACCTACAGCGCCTGCAGGGTTGTTAAAAAGGGGTTCGCGGTGCCAACCGAGGACGAATCCTACGGCTGATAACCTGCGAAAGGGTTTGAAACAGAGTTTCGGGATGGATAAAACAGGCCCTAACCCACCAACAAGAAGAGACCACCTTATCCCCCCGGTCCCAAGGGCAAAGCGGTTGCCCTCGGCCGGCACAAACACGAACCAAAAGGGGTGCCAGTTGTAACAAGAAAAGAAGCCCAGCAGGGCAGAGACAACCGAAAGCAAGCACAAAGCAGCAAACCAAGCAGGCAAACAAAGCAGCGCAGCGAGCGAGCAAAGCAAACCAATGCGAACCGAGCAAGCCCCCAACCCTAAGTCCTGACCTGCCCCCAAGCCCGCCCCAACCGCCGCAGCCGCGGCCCGCGCAATGTTTGCACGGGAAGCGGAGCAGCGCCGTTGAATGGCGAGTTGACGGAACAGCAAGATAGGGTCGCCGGGACCAAAAGCTTGAGCCAAATGGCGCATTGGCCATGGCAATGAGCAAACATGCTATGATAAAAGTACATGCCCCCAAAAACAGGTTCTAATACTAAAATGGGTGGTGCATTCACCTACCGGCCAAAATGGGATCCCAGAACGGTTTTGACCACCACGGCCATAAAAAGTTGGCGCTCAGCTTGTCACCCCAAATGACATGTTGGAAACTGGTCCTCAGATCTCATGGCGCTCCAAACCCCTCGGATCTCATGGCCAGCTCATCAAATCGGTCCTTCCGGCTGGAACTCCTTTGGCATCAGCCATCCGATTGGCTCCTCCTGACGTTCGCAGGCGGGCCAGTGGATGTCCAGAAAAGGACGCCCGGTTTTGGTCCCCTTTGAAACCGGGGAACCCCGAGGCCGTTTCCCTAACTCAAGGGCTTGGGGAATATGAAAAGCTGAGATTAGCTGACCTTTCAAGTTCGAGGGGCATAAGCCAACATTTGTGATGCGCCAAACTGGAACAACCCGAACTCCTGTGATGTTAATACTCGGAATCTGTTGTTTTGCTGCATCCGAATTATTCCACGCACCGGCTCTTCATTGCTGCTCACTTGTTCAAAGATCCGTAGCGCAGAGGCAAACCACGCTTGCCCTATGCTTTCCCAATAGACACCTGCGAGCAGAACCCGCTGAAGAAGTCAGCCCCGAAAGAAAGAGCAAAACACATTTCTGGCCCAGACTAAGGCACCTGTGGAAAGCTTCGATGTTGCTGTTTGAAACGGACCATGAAGCAAAACTAAAAGAGCAAAAAGGGCAAAGGGCAAAAGCGCAAACATGTGCACTGCATGCTTCTACTCCTGCAGATTAATCTGGAACCCAAACAACTACCGTTGTTAGAGCAAGCAGCGCATCTGGCAATGGGTTCAGATGGCTTGTAGGGTCTGAAAGGCACGCCCGTGATCCCAGCGTGTTGCTCCAAAGTCAACACAATGGCACACAGTCCGAACAATAGAGGAAACCACCTGAACCTGGCCCTTCAGCACATCAAGAGAAAGCATCATGTTAAGAGGACAAACAACCTGGCTCCTCATGGTGATTGGCAGCACTGGGCTTGGGGTGTCATTGCACGGCCGAAGATTGGGAGGGAGGGGGGGGTCAGGTCCAAACAAGTCCAACAGGCCTTGCCGCAATGATCTCCCAGTAGTTCAGAAGCTGGGGAAGTGAGGCGGTCAACCAACCCAAACACCAGAGGTGGATCTTGCTAAGCAACTTTCGAAAATCAGGTTGAAAGAAGGAAAACACGTGGTTTCACCCAAGGGGCAACTGAAGAAAGGCAAAAGCATCAAAGTGGACGCATCTAAGTTTAACAATTACAGATTATGGCCTCGTTTGGGTGTCCAGGTGATTCCTCGTGGGGGACAAGGGGGGAGTAAGGTTTACTGCTGGCAGCTGCCACTACAGTAGAGGTTCTTGTTCCAAGTAATTAGCTGATACATGATGCTTCCCCTGGAGACTGGCAACTGGCAACAATGGTTCAGGCAAGATAGCTATGCAAAACATAGATGTTTGGCTCTCAAACAGGACGATAAACCGCCCGAATACACATCCGAGAAGTTAAACACAAGTTCTCGAACGCTCCTTAGACGAAACACGCGATAAGTAGTTTGTTTACGGGAGACCGGAAGCCATCCTTGCTGGGGATCACATGGATCTATGACATTGAAGGCTCCTTGGAACAAACAAAAACACGAAGTTCGGATACCAGTCATCCGGATTCGGGTCAGCTCGGCTGCCGGGCGCTTTTGTTTGCCGCCATAAAAAACAGGAAGCTCGGTTCACTTCGGCAACCAACAAGTTCCTGATAAACCAGCTGGCAACTTCAAGTCAGTGAGGTTTCGTTTGATGTGTACAGGTTGGACATTTTGAAAAACCCTGCTGAGGACCAGAATGGACACACGACACACTGGGCTGGCCATTTGTCAGCGCATCCAGCCGCTTTCAACAAAAGGTGAAGGCTGTGTTCAAGGCCAAAAGTTGCCAATGCAACCAAAATAAGATCTAAACGCCCTCTCACACTCCACCTCCCGCTCGACTCGAACAAAAAAAACGCCCGTGCCGTGGATGCGGCCGCGCACGCCGCCAGCGACAGGACCCACAAGTTCCACATCTTTGGTAGCGCGGGCCCGCTGGGCCAAAGAGCTCTGGTAGATTGCTCAGACCGAATACATTTCTCCTGCCCCTTTTTTTAAAGATTCAGACCGAAGACAGTCCTGCCTCGCCTTCATGAACAAAGATTGCTCAGACCGAATGCATTTCTCCCCCGCCTTTTTTAAAAGACATTCCTGCCTCGCCTTCATGAACAAAGATTGCTCAGACCGAATGCATTTCTCCCCCGCCTTTTTTAAAAGACATTCCTGCCTCGCCTTCATGATGATTCTACTTTTTGGAGAAGGTTCTTCATGGCAAGTGCCACTTTCGGAGGGCCACCAGCCTTTTACCAGGACCCGTTTCTTCGTCGGACATTAGCTGGGATCCCCTGGGCCGTGAAAACTTCTGCTTTCCGGACGGCAACCGGAGACAAGGAGATCCGTTTCCGTGCAGAGTCTGCCGAAAGTAGGGTAAAACCCTTTTGGGGGGGAATATGTTTTTTTGGTCCTGGGCCGGAAAAAGCTAGTGGCCTTTTGGAGGGGGCGTTCCATGCCTAACACGGACTTGTTTAAGTATGATGCCAACCCCTGAGACACCTGACGATCAAGATCAACCAAGGGATTGTTGATCCGGGTTAACATTACAACCATAGTGGGTAACTAGCTCTTCTCCTCTTGCAATTGCAAGGGTACCTATTCTACAGGGAAATGGATTCGCAAAAGGTCCGATTGAACCCATCCAAGGAAAGGCCCCGTGACGGCCGAACTCTCTTGAACATCCTCAGAAAGCCTTACAGTCGATTTTCCGCGTCACGAGTTCAACATCCTCAGAAAGCCTTACAGTCGATTTTCCGCGTCACGAGTTCCAGACATCATCCATCCTTTGGCGCCCTATGGCTTGCCGATTCCACCGATTCCGAGGGTCTGAAAACTTGGAAGCGAAGAAACACACGAGTCAGGCACAGAACGAACTGATGTGTGTGTGGAATGACTGAGCCACAAAAAAACAACGCGAACCCGGAATGTTGGATTGCTTTTCAGCCAACTCCCTCAGACAGGTGTCACCCACACAAATGTACATTCGATTCCCATTTTCGAAGGGACACCTCCTATCATCTCTACTCGACCCCGTATCACTCAACCAAACACCTAAACTCATCCGGGGCTAAGGTCTGACACTTCGCAGGGGGCGGAGCGCCGCAACCTTGCGCCACCCACCCGGAAGGCGCTCGATCTTTATTTTTCTTCAAGCCAGCGGCATCTCGGCAAGCAATGGCCTCGGTGGCGAAGCGCACTATCTTCGGCGGAAACGGGCCCCTGATCTCGAAAATTGGTGTGGGGACGCAGGGAGTGAGACATGGGCACCCAAAAAAAACTTGATCAGGGCTGTGGGGAATGGAATCCACTTCTGTGATACAACAGAAGGGACTATTCTCTTCGATTCCCAAAGGTATCGCAGACGTGGTTGGAGAAACCCCGAGTGATCAACCACAACCCTGACCCAAAAAAAAACTGGACACCAAAAACAACAGACACGGACACCAAAAAAACAAGCTTGATCATTGTGTTTCAAGGGGCACCAGGCAACCCGCCCACCCGGTCGTGGCCCACCCAGTCGTCGCTCAAGACTTGAGGCCTCCGGCTCTGCGAAGGCGGCCACCTCTGCGCTGCTCCGCAGCTGAGACCAGTCCTCATCTCTCTTGGTATGGGCTGGCAAAAAACTGTTTGCTTTTTGCAGACCAGTAAACATGAACAGAACCAAATAACTTTAAAATAAAAATAAAAATAACAACATGATCCAAGAACCGTGAAGCTGGTGAAAAAGAAAACACCTCAGGCAAGGGCGGAACTACCCTCCCACCTTGGACATGGAAATCTTCGACATAATGGGGCGGGGGGGGGTCCTGGAAGACGGACCATTTTCCTGTTGAAGGGGCCTAAATAGTTGGAATAGGCTTTGGGATGTGTTTAAACCAAGTAGTGTGATCCAAGGAACGCCCTCCCACCAATTCACAAATTGGAACCGTTCGACGTAAAAGGGGTGGTCCTGGAAGACGGACCATTCTCCGACTTTAAAGGGACGGGTCTCGAACGTCGGATTCCATTCTAATTGGTGGTAGGGTAATAAGAAAGGGCTTTTGTGAGGTGCTTCAAAACCTATCGTCACGATACGAGTAAACAAGTAGTAGTTACTTTAGCCCTTGTCTTGTGTCATCTTCTGTGAGGGTAATTAGCTTGTGAGCCGGGGAAAGCTTCTTAGCCATCAGTGTAGGCTAGTGGATCGAACATCCGATTCCGATCAGACATTTGGCACGGTTGTCAGGGAATTTCCTTTGGATGGGAATGCAGGACATGGAGTGGATTGATGTCGGGATCCTTGAGGACCGAGGGATGGTTCTCTCGTAGGTCATGGCAGCATCGCCATCACCACCAGGAACAAGCGGCACCAGTCCAGTGCCTCTAATGTTGCTCTCATCCAAGCTGTAAGACAGCAGGCCATCATCCATGTCACCAACGCCATCAGCCCAGCTCCTCAAATGGGAAGGGGGGCGAACCGGCAAGAAGTAGTCCCTGCCGCTACAGTGACTTTGAACGAGCCGGAGCCTGCTGGTGGCTCTCGTTTTCCAAGCGGAAGTGATGGGCAATGATGGAAAGGAACGTGGAAACGCCTTCCTTCCACATTGGAGACAGTGGTTGACTTCACCAGGCAAGCAGCCTGTCGGAGCAGCTCGACCATCCTCTGAAAGACCCCGCTCTCCATGGTGGGAGCGGGCAATGCTGTTCCCATTCAAGGGAAACAAACCGAAACCTAACAGATTTCTTGGCAAGACGGACCCGCAAGTTGTAAGTTGTTGGCTGGTGAAAGGGAAACAGAATGAGCCGAAAAGGAGCAACAGGGCAAAAAGAGAAGACAACATGTCTGCCATGTATCATGTATGCACGACACGGGACTCACTCAAGTTCAACCAAAAACCAAACGAAGCCTAGTGTAAATATCCAAACAACCCAATAGGTGACCACCCATAAACTATAGCTCCGGTATATTGCCTTTTAGTGCTCATCAACCAGCATAGCATGACTGTGTCATGAATGATGATTGAGTCTACTCGGCTCAAAGGCAAGAATTGTACAGACCCACTATGGGTTCCCAATCTGAATAAAACACATTGCTAAAGAACATTGCGAGAGATCTTCACCATGTCGTTCTTGGTTTGCGTAGCCATTCGCCCACTCTTCCAACTCCAGAACACCGGGACCTAGTCTTGACATGCACCACCAAACAAACGGGCGCAACCGGTTGTTAGGGCCTAAACAAGTAGCATGGGAGGTGCAAGACCGAATTCCCTCACAGGACAATACGTAGTTCTTGAGCCAGGAATTTTATATTTCGCCATCCATATGCTTTCTTGCAGGGGATCCGAAATTCCCAATCTCCCAAACCGCCGAAGGAACAACAAAAAAACAACACATTCCGACTGAGACCATTAAATTTGGTAGAGGTCCCAAACCCAAGACCCCAAAACTGCCGGTTTTGCCCCCAGCCGATGTGTGCGAGTTTCCTGGTTCCCAGCGAGGCTTCGGGCTTCCTGCATTTTTCCCAAGACAACACCAGAGGAAACTCACCCGGACCCAAATGGCTTTCTTTTGGCAAAAATATGGGTATGTCTGCATTAGGAATCGGAGCGCCCCCTAAGATGACAGGGATTTCCGTTTCCCTTGAAAAAAAAAACAAAAGACAAAAGGGGTTCACCCCCCAAAACTGTGACAATTGGGCGGGAGATTTCCCCGTCCCCCGAAAGCCAACAGGGCCAACACCTGCCCCCATAGCCCTTGAAAAGCACGCGAAACTTCGAGAGCCTCGAGGCGCTGCGCGTAGTAGTTCCGAATCTCCGGGCGCGGGGCCTTGGAGTTAGAATTGCCTCTCTTCACTGTTACTATGCGGTTTTTATTCGTGACATCCGCTAAGCGGATTTTGCAACCGAAACTGTTAGGTGTTCATGTTTTGCAGGGGTCCTTACATTCTACACCTGAACATTGCCTGGTAAATGGTAAATGCCCCTTGAATTTGGTGGAAAAAGCCATGTTTCAAAAGGGCAACATGTATCTTTTAAGGAGCCCCGTTTTGGCAGTGATTTTGCTTGTGATTTTCATTGCCAGACTTCCCCCCCTTTTGCGGCACCCTGTTGTTGTAACCAACTCTTGGGGCCGGGGAGAACCTCCAAGTGGGGGGGGGGGGGTCCATTTTTGGAGCCTAACGGCGCCGAGTGGCCAGGACGAAGTAATGCAAGCCTGAGGGTATGTCAAATGGAGGAATCCTTCTTTGGAAGGTTTCAGAGGCAACCCAAATGGACAACTCCGCCAATTTGGGCAAAGCCCCCTACACGATCATTGCCAGGTCAACTGAGAACAGTTGAGGGAGAAGGGGTGGAAGACATGAAGACAGCAGTACAGGGGCAGTACAGGGGCAGTACATGGAGGTGGGAGCCCAGGAAGCACACCCCGCTTGAGGAAAACAAGTTGTTTTGCGGTTTAGCAAACCCTGATCCAGATCATCACCTGGCAACTCCTGACCGAGCTTCCTTGCATGTTCCTTATGTTGTGACTCTGCCGGCTCTACGTTGTGGAATGCAGAAATCCCAAAGGGTATCTTCTAACTCAGACAGGACAAGAAAACACAAAGCATTCTGGTTCCACGATTGTGGACGAAAACCAGAACAAACATGATAGGGAAATGGTTTGTTAGAACCCTTTTGTTCATCATCCTATGTTTGTCAAGGGCCCCCAAGTTGCAGAAGCCCACTACAAGGGTCCCTCCACTTGATCCTATCACAGCCGCGGGGTCCTTTCGAAGACCATATCAACTATGATCTCTCCACAAGATCCGGCACTTCGGGACCATTGGGATGCGATTTGCCAAGAGGGAGCGCCTCTCAGTCGGGTCATGTGGTTGCCAAGCCTTAAGTGGGGACTGGGGGGGGGGTCCCCTAGACAAAACAGGTGGATTCCTCTCACAGGGAGGGTCAGCTTATCTCATTGCAACCCATGGGTTCTGACA